TCAGCCCTCCAGATGTTTTCATTCAGCTGGTGTGTGTGTGTGTGTGTGTGTCAGCCCTCAGGAGCTGGAGGACCTGGCTCTCGCTCAGGCTCTCGCTGCCAGTGAAGAAGAATACAGACGGCAGCAGCAGCAGACGCATCAGGTACCAGGAATGTTTATGCATCAGTAAGCATGCTAACAGGAGCACATATAGGTACAGTTGTCATGGCACCCTAATCTTTTCTGGGGGTGGGGGGGCTGCTAAAGATGAAAGACTATTTTCTGTGAAAAGTTTGTATGATGCTGTTGAAGTTGTGTGAATGAAGAAGTCATGATTTGATTCTAGTTGAGTTTTCTGTTTTTGTTCAGGGGAGCGAGTCCAAACCGTGGACCTGCAGTCTGTCTTAACGGAGCGCCACGTTCGTTTCAAGCTGATCTGTTCACAAGAAGTGCACATCTGTCCGTTCCCAACATGGAGGAGTTCTGCATGAACTACCGCATGATGGCAGAGATGATGTCACCTTCTACACAGAAAAGCACACTTTTTAAACGGATCAGTCATTGAGCTGCTCTTGTAAATATTTTCTAAACCAATCATAATGAATCTATTATATTGCCATAAATGAATATTGAATACATTAAAGCTGCTCTTACAGTTGGAGTTTGTCTCTTCATTAATATTCTGCTTAAATTTAAGTGATGGAGCTTTTTATTCAGGCACATCTAGAAAGTGAAGTGGAATCAGTGTTTTATCAGGAAACGTCAAAGGTTTGAGAAGTCGGTGCTAAATTGTTGCTCTGTGTTCGTGTGAATCTTCCACAGTGAGAACTCCTGCTGGTGGTTCATTATTTGAACCACCAGCAGGAGTTCTACTCACAGCTCAGCCAAAATGTTTGTGGTGCCAGAATTACAAAAGCCAACAGTTCAGTGGATAGTTATTGTCAATATGTACAAATAATTTATGGTTTAAAATCTGGTTTTACTTTAAATAGAAGAATAATATAATAAAAGAGCTGGACTGAGTGAGTTCCCTCATGGGCCACATGTGGCCCTTGGACCAGCAGTTGAGTAACGCTGCTTTATGGTTTCAGCAGGAAGTTATGACCGTAATGGTCAAACTGGAAAGTTGTCTGATACAAATCTTCAACAGAGAAACTATTTTGTTTTCATTGAGTTTCAATTCCTGCTTCCTGATTAATTGAATTTTAAACATTTGAATGTACAACTATAAACTTAAATGGAGAAAACAAAAACTACTAAACCTGATCAGTTTCGGGGCTGTCTGTTGTAACAAAAACATCTCGTGGTTATAAATGTGGGGGTGCACATTAGAGAAGGTGAGCCTGTGATTGAAAGGTTGCCGGTTTGACTCCCGGAACCGACAACATCAAAATGTGGGTGGGAATAGTGAAGCACCCACACCTGCCTCCACCCTCATTTGCCCCCATGGGCTCATGAACATGGCCCTTAACCCCCACCATCTGCTCCCCCAGGCGCCCTACATGCAGCTCTCTGCTCCACACAGAGGCGGTGGAAGCATCATTGTCTGTGGTTGTCAAAGGGCATCTGGTGTCAAAGTAACTGCCGAGTCTTCACAACTGGTGACCCCTGAGGAGGGGAGCAGCCGAAAGGTGAAGAGAAAAAGTATATGTATATATATATATATATGTGTGTGTGTGTGTGTGTATACACAGTCATAATAGGTCATTGCTTTTTTATGGAAGTAAGCCATCAAATAAAAGATAAATGTTCGAAGTTTATAAAAGTTATTGTAACCTTGAACAGCAGGGGGCAGTAATGCACCACATGTAGTTTGAACTGACTTCCACAGCAGCTTAGTTTGAGATTAGAAAAAAAAAAACATTTTTATATTAACCTGAATTGAACTCTGACTTGATTTCTTCTTCCAGAGATTCAATTCAAAAATACTTTATTAATCCCAGAGGGAAATTAAGTGTTGTCATATCTCATTATCCTGGTTCCATTCAAGAGTTGTAGATGCTGATAACTGTGGACAGGAAGGATCTGCTGCAAATCTGAAGAATCTGGTCACAGATACTGATCCATCCACCCGGACTCAACTTGCTGTCAGATCCATATCAACCAAAAAATATAAATATATGTATATACATATATATAAATATATATATATATACATAATATTTAATATTCACGTCTGTTGTCAGGAGAAGCCGTTAGTGAAGGACTTCCTTGATTTGTTGGACTCATTTAATTTAACTCAACATGTAAATGGTCCCACCCAACAACACGGTCACACTCTGGATCTCATTTTAACACGTGATGTCTCTGTTTGTAATTTGGTAATCGGTGACAACGTTCTCTCAGACCACATGCCTGTCTTGTTTGATATCATCCCGCCTTGTCCTACTGCTAAGTCATGTGATTCTGCACGTACTTCACGCGCCATTAACCGTTTCACTGCTGCACGTTTTACTGAAGCTTTTAGCTCTGAGAGGATCGATCAGCTCTGTGTCTCTCTCCACCGAGGAGCTAACCTCTCAGCTTAACTCTGTTTGCTTCAATATTCTGGACTGTGTTGCTCCCGTTAAAACCAGGAAAACAAAACTTTTATCAGAACCATGGCTTAATGACGTCACTCAAGCCGTTAGACAGCAGTGTAGGAGAGCAGAACGCAGGTGGAGGAAAGACAGGCTGCAGGTTTCTTTTCAAATCCTAAAGGAGAGTTGGCGTCATTATCAGAAGGCAGTTAAAGCCGCCAAATCAAAGTTCTTTTCTGCGATAATTGCCTCAAACTCCCACAACCCCCGAGCCCTTTTTTCCACCCTGAACTCAGTTCTACACCTCAGTGAACCTTCACCTCTAGAAGCCTCAACTGAGCTGTGTGAAAACTTCCTCCATTTCTTTTCTGAAAAAGTTGCAAACACCCGGGCACTCATTTCTCCACCTGCTCATGATCCGTCCATCCCATCTCATTGTGTTGCTGTTCTTGACCACTTCGAGCCCATCTCTCTGTCTTCCCTGGAGCAGGTCATGTGCGGCATGAAGCCATCTGGCTCCCCTTTTGACGTTGTCCCCCCTCGACTCCTTAAGGAGCTTCTTCCTGTTCTGGGCCCTCCTGTTCTTGGCATTGTGAACAGCAGCTTAGCCTCAGGTGTGGTGCCAATAACTTTTAAACATGCTGCTGTCCAACCTCTCCTGAAAAAACCTAGCCTTGACCCCTCAGTCATGTCCAACTTCCGGCCTGTCTCCAGACTCCCATTTGTCGCCAAACTGCTGGAAAAAATAGTGGAGTCCCAGCTGAAATGCTTTCTAGAGGATAATGCCATCTTAGAGCTATTCCAGTCTGGCTTTAAACCTCTCCACAGCACTGAAACTGCTCTACTCAAGGTTTTTAACGACATTCTCCTATTCACAGACGCTGGTGATTCTGTGCTCCTTCTCTTACTGGACCTCACATCTGCCTTTGATACAATTGACCACGAGATCCTCATTGCGAGGTTAGAGCAGTGGGTGGGCATCACTGGGTCAGCCCTCGAATGGTTTAGATCATACCTCGCTGACAGGTCCTTTTGTGTCTCCATCAAAGATTTTAGTTCAGCCTCGGCAGCGCTTAAATGGGGGGTACCGCAAGGGTCCATCCTTGGTCCTCTTTTATTTTCTTTATACCTGCTGCCACTAGGTGCTATTTTCAGGAAACATAACATACCCTTTCATTTCTACGCAGACGACTGCCAAATCTACTTCCCCCTCAGACTCAACGGTACTCGCTCTATTCAACCGTTACTGGACTGCCTGGCTGACATCAGAGATTGGATGGCTTTAAATTTCTTGAGTATCAACGAGAAGAAATCTGAAGTTATGCTGTTTCCTCCCAATGACACAATCACCAACCACTGCATCGACCTATCCGTTCTGTCACCGTTAGTGAAACAAAGAGTCACTAATCTAGGAGTGATACTTGACCCTTCTCTGAAACTCAACAATCATGTAAATATGATTGTTAAATCCTGCTTTTTCCAGCTGAGGCGACTGTCTAAGCTGAAGCCCATATTGTCCAAAAATAACCTGGAGACAGTAATTCATGCATTCATTACATCCAGGCTCGACTATTGCAACTCACTCCTTTTTGGTATCAGTCAGACCTCCATAGCTAGACTCCAACTGGTCCAAAATGCAGCAGCCCGGTTTTTGACCAGCACAAGCAAAAGGGAGCACATTACACCTGTTCTGGCTTCCCTACACTGGCTTCCGGTTCACCTTCGAATCAAATTCAAAATACTCTTGTATGTCTATAAATCACTAAACAGCTCTGCCCCCTCCTATCTTACTGATCTGCTCCAGCCGTATGTCCCACCACGTTCTCTCAGATCAGCAGACCAGTTGCTCCTAACAGTCCCAGGAACCCGTCTCAAGCGCAGAGGTGACAGGACCTTCTCTGTAGCAGGACCAAGACTTTGGAATGAGTTACCTCTGCTGGTTAGACAGGCCCCCTCCCTCACAGTTTTTAAATCTTGCTTAAAAACACACTTCTATTCCCTGGCTTTCTGCACTGTGTGATCTGTGCTCAGTCTGTGTGCATCACACTGTGTTGGTCATGTTGCGGTTGTTGTTGTTGTTGTTATCCATTACTGTTTTTGTTGGTTTCTACTTTTTGGTGTCCTGTTATGTAATCTGTTGCTGTGTGCTTGTTCTGTTTGTCCCTGTACAGCACTTTGGTGTGCTTTGTCACTGTTTAAAGTGCTTTATAAATAAATTGGTATGGTATGGTATATATACATATATATATATATATATATATATATATATATATATATACACTTTTTTTTACAGTAAGCTTTTTTATTATGTCTGCAATGTATCCAGCAACTCAGATCTCTGTCCCTAAAAGTCCAAAGTCATCGTGCATTTTTATTTTGATTATTTATTTAAAAAAACAGCGAGAGGAGACATTGCTCAGTCTGTGGAGTGGATGTTCCAGTCGCACTATGTGTACCAGCTTGTTCACACGCTTCTGCCCAGCAGAGACATGGACCACATGTCCTGTGGTGAGCGTCTTTGTCCACCTTCAGCTGTGTGTATACGTCTATGTGCTGGAGTTCAGACACATCAGCAGTTGTGTGTGCGCTCTGCAGAGCTCTCTGAAAACACTCTAGTGCATAAAAGGTGCACTGTCTGCAGGGCGCACAGCTGAAGGTGGATGAAGTCGCTCCTCCCTGCCGGACATGCGGTCCACGTCTCTGCTGGGCAGAATGTGAGTGTGAGCTGGTGCACATAGTGCGGCTAGAACATCCACTCCACAGAACGTCTCCTCTCGTTGTATTTTTAATGAATAATCAAAATAACAATGTGCGATGACTTTGGACTTTTCGGGCCGGAGATCTAAGTTGCTGGATCCAAGCAAACAGTTGCTGGAACGTAGCCTGCCAAAATGAGAGTGTTCCCGGATCTTGTTCCAACAGGATCCGGCTCAGATGAAGCTCTGATTTTGTGTGAAAGAAACATTTGCACAGTTGACAAGTTTAAGAAAATTCCTTTTTGTATATCTGGCTCTGTTCTTGTCTTTGCAGATGTTAGTGAAGCTTGTGATTTGGCGCTGAGGCGTATAAACTTGATGCACCTGCTTCTTGTGACAAAACAGCTTCCACTCAGAAAGCCGAACA